TTAGGGACGAGTTACCTAAAACCTTCGCAAAAACAATATTATACGTGACAGCACGTTACCACTTCAAAAAAAAACTTTTTGTCTTGCATTTTTTTTTATAATATTTTTTTGCGACAATATTTGTTAATTTGTTGCAAAAGATTTTATTTTTTGTGTATTTCTTCTCATTTACAACGGTCATTCAAACCGTCACAAAAACTCAATCCCCCTAATTTTAATCAGAACGTGCAGCCCCTTGTGAGAACCTGAACATAAAAACAAAAATGTAAATAATAATAATTTTACAAGTCTCAAATATTTTTATGGTAAATGTTAAAGTGCAAATTAAATATTGTTGGAGGGTAATTTAATTAATCTTAAACTTTAAATAAATTTATTATGGAAGTCCAAAAATTTAAAGGCTAATAATAATAATAATAATAATAATAATAATAATAAGGAGAGTAATTATTTTAGGGTTAATAATATAAACAACAATGATAGAGAGTTCTAATTTTGGAGTTCTAAAGAAAGTTTTAATGATGTGGCAAGAAAAAAAAAAGAAAAAAAAAAGACACATACATCACATTATATGTGAGCCCTACTCACATCACTAGAGTTCTCTTTAGAGTTTCAAAATTAGAGTTCTCAATCTTTATTCTAATATAAATACATAAATAAATAAAAATCGAAGCTCTTATTAACACAGCGGCCGCAGTCTTAGCCGTGAGAATGAGGGAGAAACAGTGGGAGAAGAGCAGTAGCAATCTAAGTCTGGGACTTAGGTTTCGTAGTAAGAAGAAAACCTTTTGAATCCTATATTCCTTTGTTCCTCATCTTCCTTCCATTATCTTAATATATCCAGTTGGTTAATTAATTGGGTAGATGATGGATGATATATTATAATGCCTAACTAATATTATATTGCACGGATGATCGGTGGAGTGTTTCATGAGAGTTCATACACCCAATATTTTAGTTTAGGAATTAAGTAAAGGTGGTGTTTGGGGGACTAATTTTTAGCAGGTCGTGGGCCTTTGAAGAGCCAATGTTGGTATGTAATAGTATTCTAGAAATTTTAATTGAACTCATAATGTTTATACATTGTTGCTCCTAAGAATATTAATCTGCCAGCAAACTTTAGAATTTAAGAAATCATATTAAATGAATGAATTTTAAGTTGAAATTTTTACAATAACTTAATTACATATTGAATTTCATACCAAAATTTTCTCATAATTTTTGGAAATCAAAATCCATATAAATTGATGCGTTCAAATCTGTCTAGAAAATTAGTACTAACAGTAACTTCGGAAGTATCATTCTCTTAGGGTATAAATTTGAAAATTATCAAATCAGTGTAATTAGAATAGTTTATGAGTTTAGTTTCTTACATTTTTAGCTTTGCATTGATTGCTCATGTATATTAAGAGAACAATCAATTTTTTTAAAGTGTTGCAAAAAACGATCTGCTTGGGTATAATTAATTGTAAATAATTATTTCTATAAGCAAATAAAGTAAAACCAATTGAGTTTGAAACGTAGGATATATTGGTTGATATCTAGAGGATTTTAGAATTTTTATAATGGCGTGGAGTGGGTTTGTAATTTTCAAAGTTAGCAAATAGATTGAGAAAACTTATTTATAATTCTATTTTATCTCAAAGTCACATTTAATTAAGTTTCCATTTGAACCCATGTTTTGGGTAATTTGAGACCTTGAAGAACATGAACTTAAGGTATTTTTTAAGTGCAACTGTGAGTTGGGTTGAGCCGTGCTAGCATGTATTAGTTTGGGATTAATTAATTTATTACTTCTTTTAGAACTTTTGAATTAGTAAGTGATGTGTAGTTTTCATACTTGGTTCAAGGCATTAGTTGGACTTTCATACTCTATTCAATGATTATATTATTTTGCTTTCAGGTGAGTAGTTGTATGTTACGTATTTTTATAAATGTTCTCTTTTACTAAAACTATTTGAAAAGTAAATTGTTGTTTCGTGACCAAACAATCTTGGTTAAATTATTGGAACTGAGCTATTTTTAAAAAATGTAAACTTAGCATATTGTAAACTATTTGTTATGGTCTCATGTTTATAATGGTGAATTATCAAGTTTTGCAAAATTGAATTGTATTGATTATTAGGACAATCTATAGATAAAAGTTCAAAGAATTTATTTCACTGTGTGTGGTGACTCTGACCATTAAGAAATAGATCTGAGTTGAACTATGATAACTCTAATGCTCATAATTGCTTTCCATTCCCAGGTGTTCCTTTTCCCCAACTCCCAAGGTTTTGAAATTCCTTGTTTTCGCTATACAACCTTTTGTACCATTTTCCTAACTCCATGCTTCCATACCCATTTAAGCTTTAGCTACTTTAAACATTGCACCAATCACTTCTACACCTATATAACCCCATATCAAACAATCTAATTTTTTTTTTGTATGGTTGAAATTGTTTGTCTTATTTTTGGTTGAATATGAACCATTTACCTTAAGGATTAAACTAGGATTGGGAAGGGACCCATTTATACATCTTATGGGGTTATTTTAGAGTGCAAATCCCATACTTTCTGCAGAAAGGCAGCAACTGCTGCCGTGGGTGCTCCGTTCCCTTTCTCTTTGATTTTTGCTTCCAAAAATCCATCATGTTAGCTTTAAAATTCTAGTCTTGACTCTGCTCAAGAAAAATCTTATATTTGGAGTGTATTTTAGTGTACTATTTAAACTTATTAGTAAGTTTTAGGGAGTGACTTAGTGAGAGATTAGTGTTGTATCATGTGAAGAACTTTGGGGATTTTTAGAAAATCTTGGATCAAGAAGGCTTGAGTCACTTGGATCTCATCTTCTCCACTCCCTTTTCCCAATCTTTTGTTTGTTAGAGCTTCAAGAGATAGAGATCTCTACCCCTTTTGCTATATAGAAGTATGTTAGGATTTCAAATTGACTTCTCATGAGTTGATTATTATTTTAGTGTTAGGCTGTTTATGTGTCGTATTGTTTACGTGTCGTTGGATAAGTTAATTAAATAAAATGGAATTGAGGTACTATTGGTTGTCAACGAAATGGCCAAATGGGAAGTCAACAAAACTTCACATAGACAACTAACCAGGCACAAATGACTTGTAGGAAAAGACGAGACTCGAAATTGGTTCCCGATTTTCAATCTAAAGCCTAATTCCCGTTTGTGAAAATTTGGTTTTTAGAAACTCTTTTTCGACCTGGTTGATACACTGAAATGGTTAAATGGAGTCGGATGTCAATGACACATGACACACACGACTAACTAGGTACAAATGACTTGTAAAAAAAGATGGAACTCGAAACCGGTTCCCGATTTTCAATCTAGAGCGTTATTTCTGTTTGTGAAAACTTGTCCTTTAGAAACTCTTTTTCCGAACCGATTGATACACTAAAATGGTCAAACGGTGTCGGATGTCAACGAAACTTGACACACACAACTAATTAGGTACAAATGACTTGTAGAAAAAGACAAGGCTCAAAACCGATTCCCAAATTTGAATCTAGAGCCTAATTTTCGTTTGTGAAAACTCATCATTTAGAAATTCTTTTTCGAACCGGTTGACACACTAAAATAGTCAAATAGCGTCGGATGTCAACGAAATTTAATACACATGACGAACTAGGCACAAACGACTTATAGGAAAAATAGGGACTAAAAATCGGTTTAATTTTGAATCTAGAGCCAAATTTCTATTTGTGAAAAGTTGTTTTGTAGAAACTCTTCTTCGGGCTGGTTGACACACTAAAATGGTTAAATGGAATCGAATGTCAACAAAACTTGACACACACGACTAACTAGGCACAAATGACTTGTCGGAAAAGACGAGACTCGGTCTCTTTACTTTGATTATTTATTCTTTATTTTATGTCACCTATATTGCCTTTTTATTGTTGTTAATGATGAGATAATAAAGTCTAAGTTAGAAGCCCAACCAGGATCAAAGGGAAAAGAAGTCCAGTCAACATTTAGTTACCAAACCATAGTTATGTTAGAATCAGTTGTAAGTTGGTTAGAACTATAGTTGAGTTAGGTGGTTACACTTAAGTGTATAAATCTGTGTACTGATATTCTATTGAATCTAATAAAGAAACTCTTATTTGAGCACCAACGAGCCATAGGTTTCTTCCATGGCAGATCCATCAGGTCTCCGTCCAAATCTCACATTACTCATCTCAAATCTCATTTCTTTTGTGAATGTTAAGCTTGATTCTTCAAATTACATTGTGTGGAAAAATTAATTGCTCAATATTTTATAAGCGATGAAGCTTCTTTGCTATGTTGATGGATCGTTGCCGTGTCCTCCATCGATTGTTCTTGATTATTTGAACAAAGAGGTTGTGAATCCAAAACATCAACAATGCACATTTGTTAAGTTGCATCACCGTAACTTTATCTCCAGCGATCTTCACATCGGTTTGCTCTTGCAAATCAAGCTTTGAGGTATGGATATCACTGGAAAAACGATTTACGTCTCTCTCTCTCTCGATCTCATTTACATCAGCTCAAGAATCAATTGAATCGTCTCTCCAATAAAGGGCATTCTGTGGAGGATTAAGGCTATTTTAACCATAACAAACAAAACATCACATCCAACCCATAATCATTACATTCTTCTCTCACAAAAAAACTCAAAAAAGCCAAAAAGCCAAAAAGTCCTTCCCAAACCAAGCTTTTAAGCCCAGACTAAAATAGCCAAAAAAGCCAAAAAGCTAAAAAGCCAACCCACTTCCCAAACGGAGGCTAAATAAACTCTTGATTCTTTGAAATCTCTTTATGGTATCAGAGCATATTTGAGCACCAACAAGCCATAGGTTTCTTCCATGGAAGATCCATCAGATCTCCCTCCAAATCTCACATTACTGATCTCAAATCTCATTTCTTTTGTGAATGTTAAGCTTGATTCTTCAAATTACATTGTGTGGAAAAATTAATTGCTCAATATTTTATAAGTGATGAAGCTTCTTTGCTATGTTGATGGATCGTTTCCGTGTCCTCCATCGATTGTTCTTGATTATTTGAACAAAGAGGTTGTGAATCCAAAACATCAACAATGCACATTTGTTAAGTTGCATCACCGTAACTTTATCTCCAGCGATCTTCACATCGGTTTGCTCTTGCAAATCAAGCTTTGAGGTATGGATATCACTGGAAAAACGATTTACGTCTCTCTCTCTCTCGATCTCATTTACATCAGCTCAAGAATCAATTGAATCGTCTCTCCAATAAAGGGCATTCTGTGGAGGATTATCTAGGTCAAGTACAGGCTCTCTTAGATCGGTTAACTCTGGTCTCCTCTCCAATTGATGATGAAGATTTAGTGCTTATCATTCTAAATGGTTTACAGATGAGTACAACGCCTTCAAGACTACCATTCGAGCACGAGCTGAGTCCATTTCTGTAGATTGTCTATGCTCGTTGCTCTGCTCTGAAGCTGTTCATGTTGAGTCTTCAGCCAAGCATTCTGGTTCTGCTAATGTGCCTTTTGCGTATGTTTCTATGAGGCAAAATTATTCTCCATTTGCTAACTCTGACATCGGAGGTTATCGTGGTGGCTATTCCAGAAATTCCAACAGAGGTGGTCGATTTTTCAAGGGCAATCGTAACCGCAGTGGTGGAGGAAGCAAAATTTCTACTCCAAATTCTGCCTCTGCTTCTCATTCTTCTGGTTCTCCTACTGGTTTACTTATTTGTCAAATTTGTGTCAAAGCCAATCACACGGCTCTTGACTGCTGGTACAGAATGGATCACAGTTTTCAAGCTCCTTCATCTGCTATGAGAGGTACTTCCCCTAAGGCTTATATTGCCGCTTCTTTATCTGACAACAACAATGCGAATTGGTACCTTGATTCTGGGGCTACTAGTCATCTCACTAATAATCTCAATAATCTATCTCTCTATCAACCATATGAAGGTGAGGATCATGTTACCATTGGTGATGGGAATCCATTGGCTATTTATCATACTGGCACTAGTTTGCTTCCCACTCCTTCTACTACTCTTAAACTTCATGACATTCTTTATGTTCTATATTGCCGCTGGGTAATGCTAGGACACCAAATTTTTTACCAAACATATGACCAAATGTCTCACATGGGCACATGGGCACGCCCACGTGCCCATGTGACATGTGAGACATTTGGTCATTTATTTGGTAGAAAATTTGTGACCTCTAGCATTTTCCATTGCCGCTTCTTTATCCGACAACAACAATGCGAATTGGTACCTTGATTCTGGGGCCACTAGTCATCTCACTAATAATCTCAATAATCTATCTCTCTATCAACCATATGAAGGTGAGGATCATGTTACCATTGGTGATGGGAATCCATTGGCTATTTATCATACTGGCACTAGTTTGCTTCCCACTACTTCTACTACTCTTAAACTTCATGACATTCTTTATGTTCTTTCTATCTCTTCTAATTTCCTTTCTGTTCAAAAACTAGCTGCAGATAACAACAGTACTATTACATTTGATGAACATTCCTTTGTTATTTAGAACAAAGTCACCAAGAAACTGCTGTTTCAAGGCCATCATATTAATGGTCTATATCATCTTTCTATGCCATCTTCTTCTCATTATTTTCACAGTACTACTACTATGTCCTCTTCACTTGATTGGCATTTCAGATTGGGTCATCCCTTTCTTCAGAAGTAGAAGCATCTCTCTAAGTCTGCTGATATTTCTTTTCCTAATACTAGTTCCAGCAACTGGTGTACTTATTGCTGTGTCTCTAAGAGTCACAGGCTTGCCTTTAGTCTATCAAATTCTACTGTAAATAAGCCTTTGGCATTGATCCATACTGATGTTTGGGGGCCTTTTTCTCTCTTTGTTGCTGGATATCGCTATTATGTACTTTCCATTGATGACTACAGTAAATTCACTTGGTTGTTTCCTCTTTCCTATAAGAGTGAGGTTTTGAACAAATTTCTTGAGTTTAAAATGTTTGTTGAAAATCAATTTTCTACTTATCTTCAAATTCTCCATAGTGACAATGGTGGTGAATATCTTTCTCTTAAGTTTCAACATTTCTTCACTTCCCACGGCATCCAGCATCAATTAACCTATCCCCATACCCCTGCTCAGAATGGGTTAGCTGAGAGAAAACATCGCCACATTGTTGATACTACTATTGCTCTTATGCATCACTCTACTATTCCCATTCAATTTTGGTTTGATGCTATTGCTACAGCTGTCATGTTAATTAATCGCCTTCCGATTGCCAAGCTCAACTTTCTTACCTCTTTTGAGGTTTTATTTGCTCATCCTCCAGATTATTCTATTCTTCACACATTTGGTTGCCGGTGTTATCCTTGGTTAAAGCCATATACTTCCCACAAGTTACAACCTCGTTCTATTCCATGTGTTTTTATTGGCTATCATCCTGTTGTGAAAGGGTATCGATGTCTCAATCCTCAATCTGGTAAGGTCTATTTGTCCAGGCATGTGGTCTTTGATGAGAGATCTTTTCCCTTTGCCCATCCGTTTATTTTATCTTCTTCTTCTCAGTCTCCTTCTATGCCTCAACTTCAGACCTTTTTCTGGTCTACCTCTGTCCCTTCTTCCAGTTCTATTGTTCCTCCGTTTGGTTCAGCACCTCCAGGTGTTGCTTCATTTGTCCAGCCCTCTTCTGTTCAGCTCTCATCAGTTCAGCTATCACCTGTACAGGTCTTGCCAGACTTGGCCTCACCTAGTCACGTTCCTTCTTCTTCTGGTGTCCCTCCATCCTCTTCTATACCTATTTTTTCTCTTATTATTTAATTACCTTCTTTGCCTCCACACCCTCCTTTGAATCACCATCCTATGACAACTCGCTCTAAATCTTCCTCTCAATCTCTGTGTTTTCTTGCTACCTCTGATTCTAAACCTACTACTATGCTCAGGCTTCTCTGTCTCTTGCTTGGTCTCAAGCAATGCTTGAGGAATATCAAGCTCTTCACAACAAGGCACTTGGAGTTTAGTCTCTCTCTCTCTCTCTCTCTCTCTTCTAATAAGCATGCCATCGGTGGCAAATGGATGTATTGGTTGAAAAAGAATTCGGATGGTTCTATTGCTTGCTATAAGGCTTGTTTAGTTGCCAAGGTCTATCTTCAAGAGGCTAGGGTTGATTATCAGGAAACTTTCAGTCCCGTGGCCAAGCAACCTACAATCCGGGTATTACTCTCTCTTGCTCTTCATTTTGGGTGGACTATTAAGCAGTTTGATGTCTCCAATGCTTTTCTCCATGGCACTCTTGATAAAGAAGTATATATGTACTAACCTCAGGGGTTTGTTGATCCTAATCATCCTCAGTTTGCAAGTTGCATAAGGCCCTCTATGGCCTTAAACAGGCTCCCAGGGCCTGGTTTTCTATTTTTTCCTCTTTTCTTCTTCAACATGGTTTTAAGTCTAGTCATTGTGATTCCTTCATTTTTATTCATCACTCCTCCACTTGTCTTACTGTTTTGGTAATATATGTTGATGATATCTTGTTGACTGGTAATGATCCTTATTTTCTCTCTTTTTTTTTCTCCCAAATGTTTTCTTCTTTTTCCATGAAAGAACTTGGTCTTCTCAACTACTTTCTTGGTATTTCTGTTCACACCACTTCTTTTGGCTATTTTTTGTCCCAAACTAAATATGCCACAGAACTTCTTGCCAAAGCTGCATGTCCTCCTGTAAGCCTTATTTGTCTCCCATTGCAGTTAAATCCTCATCTACTCCAGATTCTGCTGTTTCTTTCTCTAATCTATCTTTCTATCGGTCTCTTGTCGGTGCTCGTCAGTATCTCACTATTACTCGTCCCGTCTTATCATTTGCTGTTAACTTTGTTTGTCAATTTATGCATTAGCCTCTCAATTGCCATTTTGCTGCAGTTAAACGTCTCCTTCGCTATCTTAAAGGTACTCTTACTCATGGTCTTCGGTTCTCTTCTAGTCCTCTTCTTCTCAATGCCTACTCTAATTTTGATTGGCCTGGTGATTCTCTTGACCGCCGTTCTACTACTGGCTATTGTGTTTTTTTGGGTTCAAATTTGATTTCTTGGACTGCTAAGAAACAACCCACTGTTTCTCGCCCCTCCACCGAGGTTGACTACCGTGCTTTGGCTCAAACAGCTGCTGAACTCAATTGGTTAACTATGCCCCTCTTTGATCTGCATCTTGTTGTTCCTCCTCCCACCTTATGGTGTGACAATCTTTCGGCTATTTCTTTGTCTAGTAACCCTGTCTTTCATGCTCGTTTGAAACATATTGAAGTGGACTATCATTATGAACGGGTTGCTGCCAAGCAGTTGTTCATCCGTTATGTTTCCACTTCTGATCAAGTTGCCGATATTCTTACAAAGCCTTTGTCTGTTAGTTGATTTTAGTTTTTACAGCACAAGCTTCTGGTTCGATCTTCTCCCATCAGCTTGCAGGGGGGTGATGAGATAATAAAGTCCGAGTTAGAAGCCCAACCAGAGTCAAGGGAAAAGAAGTCTAGTTAACATTTAGTTACCAAACCATAGTTATGTTAGAATCAGTTGTAAGTTGGTTAGAACTATAGTTGAGTTAGGTGGTTAAACTCAAGTGTATAAATCTGTGTACTGATGTTCTATTGAATCTAATAAAGAAACTCTTGATTCTTTGAAATCTCTTTAGTTAATCTCATACCTGTTTCATGTCTACTAGCATGAACTACTACTAGAGCTGCTGTGTCTGTGTTTAAGTACAATTATTTGGCTAGATTTTTTATTTTTTGTTTATTTGATTATTGTTAGATTATAGGGGAATGTGTTCAATCAATATTTAATTTTAATAGTATTATCATCGTTGTAGGATGTAATTAAAATTTATTTGGATAGTTTACGTTTACCAATAGTCCAATTGGTGGAGGGACTTCTTGTTAGTGACAATCCATTGTGCAAAATTGATGGAGTTCCAATTGGGCACGAATATTACAAAGTCTTTGCCTTTAAAGCGAAAAAGCCGAATGCTCATTTGGAAACACCATTTTGAGTTCTAAGAACAGTTGGAAAAACTGTTCGAAGATACATTATGTGGCGCTCAATTCATGTGTATGTTACAATCTTATTTATTTATTTATTGAAATAAATATCAAATGTTTTACATTTTTTGTAAGCTTGAATTAATTATAATCTAAATAATTATTTTTTTGTTTCTTTTTGCAGATGCTACCTTTTTGAATACGTGATGATATGTTTGCATATCGATATTAGAGCTTACTGTTGTTACTAAAATAAGATATCATGTATATATATAAATTTTATTTATACCGTTGATACTTTTGTTTTGTTTTAAATACAAATTTGAATTCTTGAATTATACATTTGTAATGAATGTTTGGTTAATACTGTATTGCTATAGGACATATATATTATTCGTATATATGATTTTGTGAATGTGAATGTGGATGTGTGTGGATGTTGATGTATTTTATTTTAGAAAATATTAATAATTTATACAAAAAAAATAATTTTAATACATTATATATATTTTTATTTTTTGCAAACCTACAATGAATTAATAAAACATATATTTATTTTTGGAAAATATTTTTTTTTTGTGACAGTAATAAACCCTTGCTAATGTAATCATCATTTCTTTGTATTTTATTAGTGACAGTTTAACATTGCACATTTATATATTACTTTAATTCTTTATTGACGGTTTAAACTGTCGCAAATATATTATTGATTTAATTATTTTTTGCGACGTTTGAGATCGTCGTTAATAATACTTTAGCGACGTCAACTACCGTCTCTAAAAAAGTTATTGGTGATGGCATCTTAAACCGTCATTAAATGTGAATTTTTTTTCCCTATTTTTTTGTGTCAGGTTAAACCGTTGCAAAAACTACTAATTTGTCGTCGCCACAAGAAAATGACGGTTTAAAACCGTTGCAAATGCCTTTCGTCATGCCTTCCTCAACCACTCTCCCTTTCCTATTGCTATTTTGTCACAAAAAGTCTTCTGTAATGGCATGTACACTTTTTGTGACGTTTGAGGCTATCACAAAAGGTCCGATTTTTAATAGTGATAAAATTACAATTAAAATAAATTTTGTCAAACGGAATTGTCAATTACTAAAACCTAATCGGCTTCGTTTGTTTTGACGTAAAATGTTTTTGTCAAAAATATTTTACTCATTTTTTATTGTTTGGTTTTTCAAGAAAATATTTTTGTATCATTTTTTAAAAAATGACTTACCTTTAAAAATTTTGTAAGTTAATTTTTACAAAATTGACTCTCACTTACTACCTTTTCAACATATTTAGCATTTTCAAATAAATATTCACTAAAAAGTCATAAATGATACTTTATTGAATCAAAACTTCTCTTTTAGGTAGTAAAATATTTTTGTTTCAAGTGTCAACCAAACACCGAAAAACAAAAAGAAATTTTTTTTTTTTTTTTTTTTGTAAAATCAATTTACAAGAAAATATATTTTTTTGTATAAGGTTGGCTCTACTTTAAGGGTTGAAGCCAATGTGACATTACCAAAGAGTCCTTTGGGTCAAAACCAATGAAGATCCCAGGAAATCAGAAGAGTATAGTCTCTCTTCAAAGTTTGAGAACCTTAGACAGCAGAGCTACCTTTTTGACGGATCTCAAAAGGTTATAACACAAGGTCTCAAAAGTGACATAGAGATAGGTATAGTGTTACGAAAAGGTTGCCTGTGCTTCTACCAGTATCTGAGCAACACAGAGACTTTAAGTGAACCCATGCATGCAATGCAATAAACATAAAATTGAAAATAAAATTCATATCATGGAGTTCGAGTCAAGGTTTCATAAAACCCCAGCGGAGTTGCCAAAAACTATAACATCGCCCGGGGGGTACCCACGCACATTAAACAGTTCGAACTCTCGATCTCTGTGATCTAATCTCATGATTGCAATCTGAAACATAGATGAGAGTCCAGATTTGACAACTTTATAGAAAATCCATTTTATTGCAAAATCATTGCCAGAAAATGGACTACATCACTAGATCTTAAAGTCGCCACCTAATATTTTGGAAAAATTAGGCAACCTGTGACTAATGCCAAGGTCACTATTCGTCGTAATCAAAGATGCTTAGCTCGGAACCTTAGGTATAAGGGGGGAGGGGAGGAAGAGGAAGTCATTAATGAGCATTCCCACTCACCTGATCAAAAATTGGCCTTTACTAAGCCATGATATGAGTTTTATTAACGTTATATGTCCATGTTTCGATTTATTCAATAAATCCTAAAAATTACTATGTAAAGCATACAAGTATAGACTATGTTATTCATTTTGGAACAACTTGACTTCATGTGTTTTGAGAGAGTTTTGAATATGTACAACCCAAAGAAATTGAGTTTACAAACATGAAAAATCAATATCATTCCAAATTAAACGACAACCTCTATCCATCGGTATTCATACGATTATATCAAGTAAGCAAGTAGCCTCATGGTAGGATGCAAAACATAATAAGAAAAACACATACAAGCGGGATGCTAAAGCATAAAAACTTATACATTTACCGACGTCCTGCGAACAACTACAAAACAAAGTTAGTAAAATATGCATGATTTTATATACAAAATCCTAATGCATTTTACACATGAGATGCAACTAAAGATTTGGCTTTTAGGATATGACATGTGAATCATCTCAAGAACATGAGGTAGCTCACATAATCACATAAAAATTAATTAAATCCATAAATGCAAACTTAATCGAATCAGGATGCATGAAACATGGATACGAAGTATGGATATGATGAAAAACAAAATATGATGCATATTCCCAAATAAGAAAAGCAAATAAAAGAACGGGATAGAAAGAAATGGGGGCAGGAAATTATTACAACACTTTGAATAAATTATTACAAACCAAATTACAGAGGAAGAATATTACAACAAAATGAAAAAAAAAAAAAAAACTCACAAAACACTCATATAAAAACAAAACAAAATGAAAGCTTCATGTGTCTTTGAACCATCGGCGGAAGTTGATCAACATCGGAAGGCTATGCAGTCTTGTTCAAAAAAGCTAACCAGCAAGCCAAATAGGCCGGCCGGCCAACTAGACCTAGCAAAACCTGTTTTGTTGCAAAACCGAGAAAATGAACAAACAAGAAATATATAGGTGGCTCAACTAACCACTAGCGGTTAGCTTGCAACAAAACTAATATGAAATTAAAGTAAAGAAATAAGCAAGAAAATAAATATGAGCTAAACTAACCATTTGGATTTCAACAAAACACTATGAAATAGAAAGTAAGAAAATAAATATGAGCTAAACAAACTACTTAGATTACAACCAAACACTATGAAATAGAAAACAAGAAAAGTATAGAAAATATAAGAAAATGAAAGACTTGAAGTTCACCTTCCAAAGAAAGATTGAACTTTTTGATTTCCAAACTTCCTCTTGACCACCCTACAGTTTGTGAATTATTTTCTTAATCTTCAATCCAAGAGCTTGGAACTTGAGCTTCAAAGGTGGCTTTGGACAAATGTAGGAAATGATCACTTGGAACCTCACAAAGACTATTCTCTCTTTGATCAAAACTCTAGAATTTGACTACAATAGCATGACTTGAATAACTCTTTGTAATAAAAGATGAGATATAGTGTCTAGCTTGAGAAATGGAAGGTCACAATTAACACTCAATTTTGGCTAGCTCTTGAATTCAAAGCTTGAACTCTCTTTTTCTCTATCTCAAGTCTTCTCTCCTTAATCTATCCCCCTCATCCTTTCAACAATCTAATGTATACATATAGGCAATACAAGTGGAGAATGGTGGAGGACAAGGTGAAAGATTAATGGAGCACAAATGGAGCTAATGGAGCACAAAAGTGGAGCACTAGCTTCAATGGATCAAACACTAGGAAATGGAGGCTAGATATACATGCATTCAATGCATGGGTGGGTCAAAAAATGGGTTTGGGAAGTGCCAACCTAAGCCAACCAACAACAACTGGGCAATCTATGTACTGGTGGTTGACCGGCCGGTCGACCGACTAGGGTGGTTTTCATCCGTTTCGCTCCGGTTCAACTATATATGGGTGCCCAACGGGACCTAAAAACTTGGCCAAACTAGGCTTAGGGTGGAGAGTAAAGCTCAATTTCCAGCTTTTTTTTACTGAGGATTGTGCAAGAAATATATTCTGATTTAATCATAGGGTAATCAAAAAAAAGTGCCCAAGTCTTAAGGTCAATCAAAATGGGATGTTTATAGCATCATATTTTGTTTTTCATTCTATCCATGCTTTGCATCCATGTTTCGTGCATCATGATTCGACTAAGTTTGCATTTGTGGATTTAATCAATTCTTACGTGATTATGTGCGCTACTTCATGTTCTTTAGATGATTCACATGTCATATATTAGAAGCTGAATTTTTAGTTGCATTTCATGAGTGAATTGCATTAGGATTCTGTATATAAGATTATGCATATTTCGCTAACTTTGTTTTGCAACTATTCGTGGGACATCGGTAAACGTGTAGTTTTTTATGCCTTAGCATCCTGCTAGTGTATGTTTTTCTTACTATGTGTAGCATTCTATCATGAGGCTATGTACTCACTTGATAGAATTGCATGAATGCCGGTGGATGGAGGTTGATTTGGAATGATATTGATTTTTCTTGTTTGTAAACTCAATTTCTTTGTGTTGTACGTCTTCAAAACTCTTTCAAAATAAATGAAATCAAATTGTTCCAAAATGAATGACATAGTCTATACTTGTATGTTTCACATAGTAAATTTTAGGATTTATTAATAACTGGAATATGAACATATAAAGTCAATAAAACTCATATCATGGTTTGGTTTAGTCGAAGTCGATCTTTAATCGGGTGAGTGGGGATACTCAATTAATGACCTCCCCTCTCATACCTAAGGTTCCGAGCCAAGCATCTTTGATTATGACAAATAGTGGCCTTGGCGAGAGTCATGGGTTTCTTAATTTTCTCAAAAATATTAGGTGACAACTCTCAGATCTAATGAAGCAGTCCATTTTTTGGCAAAGATTTTGTAATAAAATGAATTTTCTATAAAAGTTGTCAAATCTAGACTCTTATCTATGTTTCACATTGCACTTGTGAGACTAGATCAAAGAATTCAAGGGTTTGAACTGTCTAACACGCACAGGTACCCCTCGGCCATGTTACATCTCATTAAAACCTTGCTAAGGAAAACCTAGTGGGAAAAAACTTTAGACGAAAGAAAAAGAGTATAATCTATAAATCAGCTTAAATAGATTACTCCCTCTCAATGCTTCATAATAGGTCTTTATGTCAATTGCAGACACCTCATTTTGATTGGCCCTAAGACTTAGGTGCTTCATTTTGATTACCCAATAATGAAAATAAAAGTGTGTTTCTGTAGCTGTTTTTCGCGCTTCTCCGAGCCATTTAGTCTCC